TGGGACTGGAGGTGCCGGTTCTGGGGGTGCTGCTGAGGGTACTGGAGCTGCTGAGGGTACTGGAGCTGCAGGAGGTGCTGGAGCTGCTGAGTGTGCTGGAGCTGCTGGAGGTGCTGGAGCTGCTGAGGGTGCTGGAGCTGCTGGTGCTGGTGGCACTGCACAGCCGCGCCTGTTCTTTGCTCCACCGTCTCCGTCGTCTCTGCCACCGCCTGACTCCGTACTTCGCCAGGTTCTTAGCCTCCCGTCGTCTACTGGTCTTCCGTTACAGCCTGGCTCACCTCTGCCTGCTCCTTCTCCTTACGCTGAGCAGACAGGGGGCTTTACTGAGCGTCGTGAGCCTGCGTCGCGTCCTGTCTCGCCTGTCCGTTCTGGTCGTTCCAGTCGTCGTGTTCCTCGTCAGCGTCCGCCGGCTGTCCCCGGCCCTTCCCTTATAATCCGTCGTCCTGCCTCTCCTCCACAGCGTGTTCCTCTGCCGTCTCCTCCTGCGTCTTCTCTGCCTGTTGTTCCGGACCCTGAGTCCGACCGGTTTCGTGCTGAGCACCCTACTGTCACGCGTCTGCTAGCCACTGTTGTCACTGACCCGTCGCTTGAGTCTGCTGCTGCGTCTGCCTTAGTCGCTGAGCTTGTTGATTTTGCTGCTGCCTGTCGTCTAGACTACGCTGCTAGTCTTGTTACTGAGTTTGGGTATGTCTGTCCTCCGTCCGTCGGGGGTGAGTGTGCTCTTGGCACGGACGTCCTTGAGGACAGGCACGAGGACCTTGAGTGTTTTGCAGCCGCTGCGCCTCATCTCGTGTCCATGCTGCTTGCCCCTGAGGGAGACCCGGATGCACCAGACATCCCGACCCCGCGCTCTTACGCTGAGGCGATCGCGGGTGAGTACTCCTCTCAGTGGCAGACAGCCATGGATGCAGAGATGGCATCCTGGAAGTCCACAGGCACCTACGTCGACGAGGTTCCCCCTCCTGGGGCGAACATCGTCAGTGGCATGTGGATTTTCAGGGTGAAGCGGCCGCCAGGTTCTCCGCCTGTCTTCAAGGCTCGTTACGTTGCTCGAGGTTTCAGTCAGCGAGAGGGAGTTGACTTCTTCCAGACCTTCTCCCCTACCCCGAAGATGACCACTCTTCGGGTACTGCTGCACGTTGCCGCTCCGCGTGACTACAAGCTTCACTCTCTTGACTTCAGCACAGCTTTCTTACAGGGCAGCCTGCACGAGGAGATCTGGCTGCGCCGCCCACCTGGCTTCACTGGGTCGTTCCCTCCTGGTACCCAGTGGAGCCTCCGGCGGCCGGTCTACGGTCTCCGCCAGGCGCCGCGTGAGTGGCAAGACACACTGAGGATGACACTTGCGGCTCTTGGGTTTTCTCCGTCGACTGCTGACACGTCGCTGTTTCTGCGCACCGACACTTCACTGCCGCCGTTCTACATCCTCGTGTACGTCGACGACTTTGTCTTTGCCACTGCTGACACTGAGGCTCTCGCCCTGGTGAAGTCGGAGCTGCAGAAGAGACACACGTGCACAGACCTGGGTGAGCTGACAAGCTATCTTGGCTTGCGGATCACCCGGGACAGAGCACGCCGCACCATCACACTGACTCACATGGTGCAGCAGGTCCTTCAGCGCTTCGGCTTCACCTGGTCCTCGGCACAGGCCACTCCTCTGGCTACAGGTCACTCGCTCTCAGCTCCACCTTCGGACGAGTCCGTAGAGCCGAGTGGTCCTTACCCAGAGCTAGTGGGCTGCCTCATGTACCTGATGACCTGCACTCGTCCTGACCTTGCGTACCCTCTTGGCCTTCTGGCTCGCTACGTGGCTCCTGGTCGGCACCAAAAGGTGCACATGGAGGCTGCTAAGAGGGTACTACGCTACTTGTGCAGTACATCGGGCATGGGGCTCGTGCTTGGAGGACGGAGCGACGTTGTCCTCACTGGGCATTCAGACGCTTCTTGGGTTGACGACCAGGCTACGCAGCGGTCGTCACAGGGTTACACCTTCAGCCTTGGCTCTGGTTCGGTTTCTTGGCGTTCTACACGCTCGTCTTCAGTTCTCGGCTCCAGTTGTGAGGCTGAGATCTACACCACAGCCATGGCTGCACAGGAGTTACGCTGGCTCACCTACCTGCTGATCGACTTGGGAGAGAGGCCTCGTTCTCCTCCAGTGCCGTACGTCGACAACAAGGCCGCCATTGCCTTGTGTGAGGAGCACAGACTGGAGCACAGAACGAAGCACATCGCTCTGCGTTACTTCCTTGCTCGAGAGCTACAGCAGCGTGGTCAGCTTCGTCTTGCTTACGTGGCCACTCGGGCCAACACTGCTGATATATTCACCAAGGCGCTTCCGCCTGGTGATCATCAGCGTTTCTGTACTTTGTTATGCCTTGTGCCCACGTTTCCTCACTTGTTGTAGGCTTTGTTTCTACTGTGATCTATATATATACCTGCATGCTTGCTCTGGTAGGTAGAGATCACGGTGCTGTTGTTGTTACGTATATATCTCTGCATGTGAACTGGCCTTGTGGCCTTTTGCTTGTGCTCAGACTGCGTGGTGACGTTGTGATCCACCCTGAGCTTGCTTTACACTTCCTGCCTGGTCTTGTGACTCTCTGTTCTCCCCCACTTTGCCTATGGGGGTGTGTCAAACATATATTTATATGTTATAGTTTGGGTAGGCTTAGTGGGGTACTCACTGTGGGGTACAACCCCTTAGGTTTCACTTTTGTACCAATCTCCTCTATAGTTGACTCATTCCCTTGACTTAGTCTTGATATGTTGTTCGTAGAAGGACATGAAGGAGAAGAACTTCTCCATCATGCTTGGGTCGAAGCCCGCAGCTTGATTTGCGGGAGTTTCAGTAGACCCAGCTGCCGGTCTTGTTGCTGTGCCCTCCTCTGTCTGTAGGCCAGAGGCAGGAGGTGGAGTAGGAGTAGTACCGGGAGAACCATTAGAGGAACTCCTTTCCTTCTGAGTAGCCATGCTTTCTGATGTTGTAGGTGTCTTGATAGTGGAATTTGTCCTGACTGCTCTCATACCATGTTGGGCTGAGAAAAGCCCTTAGGATCTTTGCAGGACTAAACTCTGAGTAGGAACAATGTAGTAGCGGAAGCGTTTAATGAGAAGTTTGTGAACCACCTTGCGCTGGTATGTGAGGGCAAAGTAGATTGATTACCGTAAAACAAAGAGATACAACCTTTTATAAGAATACAAGGAATACGAAGAGATACAGTTAATAACCGTTTTACTATTGCTGTTGCGGTTCGATACAGTGACGACTCGGGCAACTGCTCAGTAGCGAGTCAGTTGTTTGTCCTTGCTGTCGCGCTGTATTTGTCAGGTCAAAGGTCGCTGACTTTTGACTTTCGCGTAACTTCCAGCAGTTGTTCAACCTCCGAGGGTTGACTCGCTAATGCTTCGATATGTTTCGCTTCGCTTCTGACTTGGTGTTTCGACACGACAGAGGCGCTAAATCAATTGTTTCCAACACATGACACTATCATTCAAGGCGGTAAATTGTATCATTTGCAAGCGGAAACTTGTATGACACTCTATGCCACAACAATCAGAGGATGGATAAATATATTTATTCTTTCATAAGGGTCTGGCATGAACCTGAATCAAATTCAACTACATGAGTGCTTAGATAGGCTGGACTGGGATGCTAATGCCCCTCAAGCAGCAATATGCTACTCTGTCTTGAAAGTCTTTGGGCGGCGAGGCTTGTACACCATTGACAAAACAATTAGGAGAATTGGAATGACAGTACCAGTGTAGTACATGCCACTGTAGGCCGAATATGCGCCCGAAAGTGTCATTACCTGCATCAGGAAAAGCCAAAGCAAAAAAGCACAATCGAGGCGAAGGCAAGGAGCAGAAATGAGTGGGCAGCATCGAGGCAAGGGGGCCCAGAGCGAGATACAGACGACTGCACTGCAGCAAGGTTTACTAGACATAAATCCATGAAAAAGTTAGTAAAACGTGCACACTTATGACACAGAAGGCGCCGACCATGTAGGTGCAGACAAAGTGACTCTTGTGTCGTCTAATTATGACTTTTGAGTCAACTCGAAAATCCATGGTGAAGTAGTGAAACGTGCACACTTACACAGAAGGCGCTGGCCATGTAGCTGCAGACAAAGATGCCGTAGAGGGTGTGGAGAAGCGCAACAATGCGGTGGGTGATGGTGCCCTTGGGGATCCCAGCAGTGAGCTGGTAGATGGCTGCATGCGAGGAACGAGAGATGAAGGAAAAGAGAGGGGGAATCAATTTGAAGGAGGTGCATTGAAGTGGAAGTAAGCAGGAGCTGGCGAGCTGACAAGCTGGCGAGCTGACAAGCTGGCGAGCTGACAAGCTGGCGAGCTGACAAGCTGGCGAGCTGACAAGCTGGCGAGCTGACAAGCTGACGAGCTGACAAGCTGGCGAGCTGACAAGCTGGCGAGCTGACAAGCTGGCGAGCTGACAAGCTGGCGAGCTGACAAGCTGACGAGCTAGAGAGTTGAGGTCAAGGGTTATGAAGCCGCATGGTGATGGACGAATGGGGATCGGAAATGTGTGTGGGGGAATAGGAATGGCATGGTGATGGGAGCGGTAATGGGAGTAGGAATGGAAAATGGATATGGGACAGAGTATGGGAATGGACATGAGAACAAGAGAAATGGACTTGAAAAAGACGATGGAAATGGGAGTGGAAATGAGATGGAAGCACAAGAATGAAAATGTAGGGGAAACTATGCTGTCATGATTGCTACAGAATGTGGGGTTTGGCATAAACTCCATCTTCCATTTGTGGAAACACTAAAGTTCCATGGCTAAAGACAGCGATGGTTGTTGAGGGGAGTGAGCACACCTTTTGAGCTGGCAACAACAAGCGCCCAGTTGGCAAAGAAGATGAAGTCGCCCCAATTCAAGCCCTGCAGGCACCAAACACACGAGCACGGTGTTGGACAAAGTGCAGACAGTTGGGCAATTCTGAGTTTGTGAGGGACGACAAGGGAGCGTACACATGGGGCTAGGGGCAACGCACATGGGAGAGAGAAGCATGGGATGCAATAAGGAAGAGTGCATATGGGAGGGGGTAAGGAAGAGAATGCACATGGAAGGGAGGAGGTAAGGAGGAACGCACATGGGAGACGGCGCTGACGAACATGGTGGCGAGCATGTGAGAGGGCAAGTGAGCACGTGAGAGGGTAAGAGAGCATGTGAGAGGGCAAGAGAGCATGTGAGAGGGTAAGAGAGCATGTGAGAGGGCAAGAGAGCATGTGAGAGGGCAAGAGAGCATGTGAGAGGGCAAGAGAGCATGTGAGAGGGCAAGAGAGCATGTGAGAGGGCAAGAGAGCATGTGAGAGGGCAAGAGAGCATGTGAGAGGGCAAGAGAGCATGTGAGAGGGCAAGAGAGCATGTGAGAGGGCAAGAGAGCATGTGAGAGGGCAAGAGAGCATGTGAGAGGGCAAGAGAGCATGTGACTCACATGGGAGACGGCGCTGACGAACATGGTGGCGAGCATGTGGAAAAAGGTTGCCTTCCTGCCGGGCGGCACCATGCGCTCGTACACGTCTGAGGGGGGGACAGGAGCAAGAGGCCAGGGGTGGGCAGGTAGGAGGGTGTCACGGGGAAGAAGCGGACAAGAATGGAGATTGAAGCATGAAGCTTGAAGCATGAAGCATGGCGAGCATGTGGAAGAAGGTGGCCTTCCTGCCGGGCGGCACCATGCGCTCGTACACATCTGAGCAGGGTGAGAGGGTGGCCAGGGGTGAGAATATGGAACGGAGACATGAGAGCAACAGACAAGAATGAAGAATGAAGAATGAAGCATGAAGCATGAAGCATGGATCATTTGGAGCATGAAGCAAGAATGAAGAATGAAGAATGAAGCATGAAGCATGGATCATTTGGAGCATGAAGCAAGAATGAAGAATGAAGAATGAAGCATGAAGCATGGATCATTTGGAGCATGAAGCAAGAATGAAGAATGAAGAATGAAGCATGAAGCATGGATCATTTGGAGCATGAAGCAAGAATGAAGAATGAAGAATGAAGCATGAAGCATGGATCATTTGGAGCATGAAGCAAGAATGAAGAATGAAGAATGAAGCATGAAGCATGGATCATTTGGAGCATGAAGCAAGAATGAAGAATGAAGAATGAAGCATGAAGCATGGATCATTTGGAGCATGAAGCAAGAATGAAGAATGAAGAATGAAGCATGAAGCATGGATCATTTGGAGCATGAAGCAAGAATGAAGAATGAAGAATGAAGCATGAAGCATGGATCATTTGGAGCATGAAGCAAGAATGAAGAATGAAGAATGAAGCATGAAGCATGGATCATTTGGAGCATGAAGCAAGAATGAAGAATGAAGAATGAAGCATGAAGCATGGATCATTTGGAGCATGAAGCAAGAATGAAGAATGAAGAATGAAGCATGAAGCATGGATCATTTGGAGCATGAAGCAAGAATGAAGAATGAATAATGAAGCATGAAGCATGGATCATTTGGAGCATGAAGCAAGAATGAAGAATGAAGAATGAAGCATGAAGCATGGATCATTTGGAGCATGAAGCAAGAATGAAGAATGAAGAATGAAGCATGAAGCATGGATCATTTGGAGCATGAAGCAAGAATGAAGAATGAAGAATGAAGCATGAAGCATGGATCATTTGGAGCATGAAGCAAGAATGAAGAATGAAGAATGAAGCATGAAGCATGGATCATTTGGAGCATGAAGCAAGAATGAAGAATGAAGAATGAAGCATGAAGCATGGATCATTTGGAGCATGAAGCAAGAATGAAGAATGAAGAATGAAGCATGAAGCATGGATCATTTGGAGCATGAAGCAAGAATGAAGAATGAAGAATGAAGCATGAAGCATGGATCATTTGGAGCATGAAGCAAGAATGAAGAATGAAGAATGAAGCATGAAGCATGGATCATTTGGAGCATGAAGCAAGAATGAAGAATGAAGAATGAAGCATGAAGCATGGATCATTTGGAGCATGAAGCAAGAATGAAGAATGAATAATGAAGCATGAAGCATGGATCATTTGGAGCATGAAGCAAGAATGAAGAATGAAGAATGAAGCATGAAGCATGGATCATTTGGAGCATGAAGCAAGAATGAAGAATGAAGAATGAAGCATGAAGCATGGATCATTTGGAGCATGAAGCAAGAATGAAGAATGAAGAATGAAGCATGAAGCATGGATCATTTGGAGCATGAAGCAAGAATGAAGAATGAAGAATGAAGCATGAAGCATGGATCATTTGGAGCATGAAGCAAGAATGAAGAATGAAGAATGAAGCATGGCGTATGGAGTACGGCAGAGCAAAGCTCTTGAGGAACTCACACAGCCGGAGCCAGAGGCCGTAGGAGATGTTCCACGTGGTGGCGAAGTCGAGGCAGCTCTTGGGGAACTCGAACCCCAGGATATCCGCGTTGCGCGCGCGGCTCCACAGCGCCTTCCCCTCCCCCTCCCCTACCGCCGCGCACGTCTCATCACCCTCCCGCTTCCCCTTATCCCCATCCCCGCCCTTCCCACCCCCGTTCGCCCCGTCCCCTCCCCCCTTCACAGCCCCGCCCTTCCCAGCCTCTCCCCCCTTTTTGGGGGCCTCCCAGCCGCTGAAGCCGAGCCCGCCGACGACCATGGCGGCCTCGGTGATGCTCCAGAGGATGTACGCGCGGAAGCGCCACACTATGCTCGCCTGGTGCGCGAAGAGCCAGCGCAGGTGGAAGGGGTACGCGCGGTTCTTGCGCGGGTCGCTGATGCGCGTGAGGTCCAGCGAGGGCGACACGAGCAGGAAGACGGTCGCTGCCAGGATGCCCTGGACGAACGCGCGGAAGAACGCCGGGAGGATGGCCGGCTGCTTGAGACCCGGGGACCAGATCTGCAGGTGGCGAGGAGGGGGATGGGTGGGAAGGGGGTGGATGGGAACAGACAGACGAGTGAGGCGAGAGCTGCGAGGATGCCTTGCACGAACGCGCGGAAGAACGCGGGGAGGACGGACGGCTGCTTGAGTCCCGGGGACCAGATCTGCAGGTGGCGAGGAGGGGGATGGGTGGGAACGGACAGAAGAGTGAGGAGAGGAGAGCGGATATGACGCTTAGAACGAGTGCGCAGGAGGATGGCGGAAGGGGAAGAGCGGACGGCTGCGTGAGCATGAGGGACCAGATCTGCACCATGAGAAACGACGATCAGCTGAGGGGAGGATACGTATACGCACATGGCGCACAACACAGCCCGGTGATATGGATATGCATATGAAAGCACGTCGAATTCAGACGAGCATGCGTACCCCTTGTCGCCGGGTCCAGTCGTCGTACGCCTTGAATTCGAAGAACGGGCCCGTCATGTGCAGCCCGAAGCATTGAGGTGATTTCTGAGGCGCCTCAAAAATCACGTCCAGGGGAATACGAACACATGCACGCACGTACCCCTTGTCGCCGAGTGACTTTTGAGTCGACTCCAAAGTCACCTCATACATGCCCGCACGTACCCCTTGTCGGCGGGTCCACTCGTCGTATGCCTTGAACTCGAAGAACGGGCCCGTCATGTGCAGCCCGAAGCAGAACAGGTACCCCAACAGCTCCAGCGGCGACGGCATGGTAACCAGCGCCGCCTTTCGCCGCTCCAGTCGCGAGCGCTCCATCCGCTCCTCCCGCCGCCTCTGCTCCTCGGTTAGTTCCTTCTTCTCCTTCTCGTCCTTGGCTTTCGCGCCTTCGTCCTTCTCCTTGAGCAGCGTGAGCCCGTCCTGGTAGTTATACGCGACAGCGGTGAGCTTTGTAGCGAGGACGGTGAGCGCGCCTGTGCAGTCGAGCACGCCCTCCGTGCGGGTCTCGTGGGTCCGCATGATGATGTGGCTGGAGGAGGTCGGATCGGATCGCATCGAAGGAGGGAAAATGCACGTGAGAACGTGAGAATTGCACATGCTGATTTTGAGTCGACTCAAAAGACGAATCGCATCGAACGAGGGAAAATGCACGTGAAAGGCGGAAAATCTGAACGGTGGTGGTGAGTCAAGGAAGTTTGAAGCGGGGGATGCGGGAGACGGGAGGGAACGTCCTGATCAAGCACGTACCATCCGATCAAGCACTCACCATCCGATCAAGTACGCGAACGTTCCGAAGAACGTTAGGACGCCGCAATTTCTACGAAACAGGCGCATTACGGCCATGGAGTAGAGTATGCACACGAAGAAGTGCGCGTACGCCGTGTATCCGAACACGAACGCCGATAAGAGCAGTCCCGTTACTGTGCAGTACAGATGGCGGAGAGTAGGCGAGGAGATGAACCTATGAATCCATGCGATCGGCACGAACGCGAAGCTAGCTAGCAGGAAAGTCGCGGCTGGACGGGGCGTGCCGATCAGGTCAGCGAAAGCCTGTACGGGATCCATGGCGGACCCCAACGCAAGGAAATACAATGGGCCGACGCAGGCGAATGGCAGGCCGAGGGTGTTCTTTCTCTCTATTTACCACTTAACGCCTCCTGGTGCTCTCTCTAAACGTACTCCCTCCCGTGTCCAGCTTATGTCAGCTTATGTCTGGCCCACAGAAACAAAAAAGTTATCCAGAAAGAAGGCCGAGTGAAAGACGAGGTTTTGTCAGGCACCAACCAGCACGACTACCAATACAACCTTGAGATCACCACCGCCTAGGCATTGTCATTTTCGGAACAATTGACTGAGAGAGGCTGATTCAGAATCAGATGCGTGATGGTCAACTGGCGTGGTGAAAGTAAAAACAGCCTCTTCGAACCGCGGCTGACCGTATTCAATCGCGTCAAACGAGCCCTGATTCACTGAATGAAAAGTACGAATGACCCGCCCGCCCGCCCAAAAACAACCAATTCGGCAAGTCCGAGATTGAGATGGGCACAGAGTGGAGCTGTCGCCGTTGATGGTGTGCAGCTGACGAGATCGCAACCGCCCATCGAAAGTGGATGAGGCGATGACAAATGCGTTGGCGATGACGGATCTGAAGGACATTTGCAAAGCGCGACAATGTGTCAGAAACGACAGGCAGTCAGTCTGACACCCACGATCGAAGGAGTGTGTTGTGAGCCGTGGTTAGGAGTGCGCGTAATAACGAATAACGAAACTCTGATATATGGGAAGTCAGTATGAAGTTTGTTCTTTTAAATAATAGTTCACCCCTAGGCTTGAAGTAACTTGCGACCCAACAATACTCATCTGTTATTTCCCAACCACTTCGTCGCCACCAGCACCCGTACAATTTGCATATTACCGTTGCCATTATTTCATTATTTACTGTTTCCTCATAAATATTATTTGCCTCGGTAGTGCAAGCAATCCTCGCTCACTCGCTCAATTGCACTCGTAACGCATCAGTTTCTGGCATACACATTCCCACATAAACCCCGCACAAAACCCCTTTGCGCCACTTCGATCACGAGTTAATGCAGAACACTACTTTCATCAAATAAGCTTCCCTGATATGTCACACTTTCCTAACAAAACCCCTCGAAGGGAAGCATGTGTGGAGCCACAGATATCCACAAGTACATAATCACCAGTGCTAGCAATCCCCCCTCCAGCTGAACCCTTACCACCTCCCCTGTCACCCCCCTCACTCGCCCATTCCAGTGAAGGACCTTTGTGCTCCCCATCCGCTGCTGACGAGTGTTGTTGGTGAAGGGAGTTCTGGAAGGTGACTCGGTGGCCCAGGTCAGTCTTTCCAATCAGCCCTGTGAGTGGAGAGCGCTTGTTGGGACCCTCCACAAGCACCACCTGCTTGGCTCCCACCTGGAGAAGAGAGAAAACAGAAAAGGATATGGGCCGCGATGGAGAGTGTTTTTGAGGCGCCTTGAAAACAGCTCGACGGCCCAAATCAGCCTTTCCAATCAGCTCTGTGAGTGGAGGGGTGATTGTTGAGAACAAGTGCAAGGTACAGGCAGGTGGCAGTGAGGTAGCAACTGGTGCAGGTGAAACGTTCCAGCAGGTGGAAGGAAGTAGCAAGGGCCTTTTAAGTGTATGAGGCACACATTCAGTTCTGCCTGGCAGTGCCCTGCCTCTTCAGCCGACTTGCAACTGATCTAAGCTGAATATGTAGAGTATATAAGGCAGATACAGTTGCGTCTGGCAGGGATGTGACGCCCTTGAAGAGTTGCTTTTGAGAAATCTCAATTGATGTCCTCGAGCACACCACAAACAACCAGGTGTGGCAGGTCTGGCATGCACCCGCGTCTGCCAGGAGCGGTGTATCTGAGATACACCACACCCTTGGGGATGCATGCACAAGGCCTTACCTGAGCCGCGTATCTGGCAGCTGTGGTCTCCCGAAAGGTAGAGACGAGTTCACTCAGCCGCCGCTGCTTCACCTCGTCCGATACATCATCCTCCAGCCGCCGGTGGGCGTGTGTGCGCGGGCTCACAAAGTAGGTATGGTGTATGCGGCAAGGACACTGGATAGGGCCTTACCTGAGCTGTGTATCGGGCAGCTGTGGTCTCCCGGAACGTGGCCACGAGTTCACTCAGCCGCCGCTGCTTCACATCCTCTGGTACATCTAAGCAGTGGCATCAATGCCTTACCTGAGCCGCGTATCTGACAACTGTTGTCTCCCTGAACGTGGCCACCAGTTCACTCAGCCGCCGCTGCTTCACCTCCTCGGGTACATCATCCTCCAGCCGCCGGTGGGCGTGCGTGCGCGGGCGCAGCGAGTAGGCAAACATGTAGGCCATGTCGTATCCCACTGCGCGCATGAGAGAGAGCGTCTCCTGGTGCTCCTCCTCTGTCTCACCGCAGAAGCCTGGGGAATTCACAGGGTGGCACAAGCAGTGACACAGTGAGCAAGTGAGCAGCGAGTAGGCAACCATGTAGGCCATGTCGTATCCCACTGCCCGCATGAGAGAGAGGGTTTCCTGGTGCTCCTCCTCTGTCTCACCGCAGAAGCCTGCAGCAGCATTGGCGGCACAGGAGCAGCGGCAGCAGCATGGGAAGTGGGGTGGTGAAGGGAAGCAGAGAGGAAGGGATTAGTGGGGCACAGGCGCAGCGAGTAGGCAAACATATGTGGGTCATGTCGTATTGCTCTGCCCGCATGAGACAGAGCGTCTCCTCATGCTCCTCCTCTGTCTCACCACAGAGGCCTGGGGGATCGGCAAGCAGGAAGGAGGGGCACGCAGGGAGAAAGGGGTTTCTTCTACGCACAGCCACAGTGAGCAGGCAAACATGAGCGAGTGAGCGTCTCCTCATTCTCCTCCTAAGTTTCACCGCAGCAGCCCGGGGGATCCACAGGGTATCAACTTGCACAGGCAGCGGCAGTGGCAGCAGGGTGCTGTATCTGAACAGGGTCACCACCACTGACTTTTGAGGTGTGTCAAAAGACAGCAGGGTGCTGCGGTTCGAATCCTTCCTTACTCTATCTGAACAGGGTCACCACCACTGACTATACTCCCGCACTCACCTCTGACCATGCTCTCTCCCTCTCTCTCTCATGCACACACCAGCTCCAGATACGCCCCGCACTCTCATGATGCTCCCTCACTCACTCCCTCACCCACTCACCAGTGATGAGGTCACTGCTGACGGCAGCACCAGGCAGGAACAATGCTCCTCACTCGCTCCACCAGCTGCAGTTGCGCCTCCCTCAAACACCCCCTGCCCATTTAAGGCGGCTCAGACGTTGCCCTGACCCGATCCACAAGCTGCAAATACGCCCCTCACTCACCTCTGATAATGCTCCGTCACTCACCTCTGATAATGCTCCGTCACTCACTCACTCACCAGTGAGATTGCTCAGTCTCTCACTCACCAGTGAGATTGCTCAGTCTCTCACTCACCAGTGAGATTGCTCAGTCTCTCACTCACCAGTGAGATTGCTCAGTCTCTCACTCACCAGTGAGATTGCTCAGTCTCTCACTCACCAGTGAGATTGCTCAGTCTCTCACTCACCAGTGAGATTGCTCAGTCTCTCACTCACCAGTGAGATTGCTCAGTCTCTCACTCACCAGTGAGATTGCTCAGTCTCTCACTCACCAGTGAGATTGCTCAGTCTCTCACTCACCAGTGAGATTGCTCAGTCTCTCACTCACCAGTGAGATTGCTCAGTCTCTCACTCACCAGTGAGATTGCTCAGTCTCTCACTCACCAGTGAGATTGCTCAGTCTCTCACTCACCAGTGAGATTGCTCAGTCTCTCACTCACCAGTGAGATTGCTCAGTCTCTCACTCACCAGTGAGATTGCTCAGTCTCTCACTCACCAGTGAGATTGCTCAGTCTCTCACTCACCAGTGAGATTGCTCAGTCTCTCACTCACCAGTGAGATTGCTCAGTCTCTCACTCACCAGTGAGATTGCTCGATCCACCAGCTGCAGATACGCCTCCCCCTACCTCTCATAATGCTCTCTCTCCCTCACTCACCACTCACTCACCAGTAATGAAGTCGCTGCTGATGGCAGCGCCAGGCACAACTTTCTCACTCGATCCACCAGTTCCAAATACGCCTCCCTCGAATACCCCCTACCTCTCTCTCACTCCCTCACTCACTCCCTCCCTCACTCACCAGTGATGAAGTCACTGCTAATGGCAGCGCCTGGCACAACGCTTCTCACCCGATCCACCAGGTCCAGGTACGCCTCCCTCGAATACCCCCTGCGCATTTGAGGCGCCTCAGGAGTACCTTCACTCACCAGTGATAAAGTCACTGCTAATGGCAGCGCCAGGTACAATGCTCCTCACTCGATCCACCAGCTGCAGATACGCCTCCCTTGAATACCCCCTGCGCATCCTCCCCAGCACACTGCTGCTGCCGCTCTGCGCGGGCAGATGCAAACTTTTGCACACGTTGCCCCGGGCAGCCATGAGCGAAAGAAGCTCCTCGGGAAAGTCCTTGGGGTGAGGGGAGGTGAAGCGGAAGCGGATGTCGGGAAAGTTCCGGGAAGCTTCGTCTAGGAGGGAGGCAAATCGGATCCCTCCCAGCTTGGGTTTGTAGATTGTGGAAAAGCCAGGGGTTAAGAGCGGTTGGGAGGCGGAGGAGGAGGAGGAAGGGGAGGAGGAGGAGGAGGAGGAGGAGGAGGAGGAGGAGGAGGAGGAGGAGGAGGAGGAGGAGGAGGAGGAGGAGGAGGAGGGGGAAGAAGAAGAAACAGTGGCAGTGACTGAATCAACCGTATCGCACTCTGACGTGTCCCGGTAGCTATTAACATTCTGCCCGAGAAGATAAATTTCCTTCACGCCCTGCCCGGCAAGCTCCTCAATCTCCCCAAGGATGCTCCTGATTGGCCGAGACCGCTCCCGGCCCCTCGTGAAAGGCACGATGCAGTAAGAGCACATGTTGTCGCAGCCCCTCATTATAGTCACAAACGCGCTGACAGAATTAGAGGCGAGGCGTACAGGTGACACGTCAGCGTAGGTTTCGTCGAGCGAGAGGAGCGTGTTGACTCCTGTCTGACCCGCTTCCACCTGTTGTTATTGCAAGGGCAAAAAGAAGAGAGGAAAGGGGACGTGCAGGAAGAGGGTGGGGGGTGGGGGGAAGGGGAGGGGGAGCATAGGTTTTGTCGAGGGAGAGGAGAGTGTTGACTCCCGGCTGACCCACCTCTACCTGTTTATTGCCAGGAAAAAAATGAGAAGGAATAGAAAAGGGGAGGTGGGATGGGAAAAAAGGATGGTTTTAACCCAACGAACACGTCAGCATAGGTTTCGTCGAGCGAGAGGAGCGTGTTGACTCCCGGCTGACCTGCCTCTACCTGTTCAGCACCAGGACAAAACGAGAGAAAACAAAATAAGGAAGAAGTGAAGGCGGGAGAGGGGGGGGTGGTGGTGTCGTCGGGAGGTTGGTTCTGACCCAAGGGACACGTGAGAATAGGAGCAGATGCTGTCACACCCCCTCATCATAGTCACAGAGAGCACTGGGTAGAAGGAGAGGGAATAGAGGGGGGTGAAGGGCGGGGGGGGGGAAGTAGGAGCACATGTTGTCACACCCTCTCATTATAGTCACTAAGGCGCTGACGGAATTAGAGGCCAGCCGAAAGGGTGACACGTCAGCGTAGGTTTCGTCGAGCGAGAGGAGCGTGTTGACTCCCGGCTGACCCGATCCCACCTGTTTGTGAGGGAGAGCAGGATGTTGGTTTCACACACCACATCCACCATCTTACCCCCCCTTCCTCTCCAAACCAGTTGCTTCTTCTACAATCTAGACACGTTCTCATTACAAGCCCACCCGTTACAGTCACACAACCCGGCCTCACCTCATCCAACAAGCGTGGCAGGTCCCTGTAGGCGTCAGGCCCACACACCACGTCCACCATCTTATCCGCCGCCACCAGCTGCTCCTAATAGTAACATTCTCATAACAACCCCGCTCATTACAATCACCCTATTCGTTACAGTCACACATCTGGCTCTCACCTCATCTAGGAGCCGCGGTAGGTCCCTATACGCGTCAGGGCCACACACCACGTCCACCATCTTATCCGCCGCCACCAGCTGCTCCTTCAGCCGCTCTGCCATGCACCCCAGCACCGCCACCTTGGGTGGAGGTGGTAACCACCCGGCTGGTAACCCTGTAACAGATGCAGCACCAGCAGCATCAGCAGCAGCAGAACCAGCAGCAGCAGCGGCGGCGGCGGCGGCGGCAGCAGCGGCAGCAGCAGCAGCAGCAGACTGAGCAAACTTATCCCTCCATTTCCGCTTCACATGTTTAAAGTAGTTCAACCGATGCCACACCTTCGCCTCTGCATTCTCCCTGATCGCACACGTGTTCACCAGAATCACCCGCGCCTCCTCCGGCCTATCAGCGCGCGCCACGTTGAACCCTGCGGATCGGAGGATCCCCAGCACCACCTCCAGGTCGTTCACGTTCATCTGGCATCCGTAGGATTCGAGATACACTCCCCTGGGGTCCGTCACTTTATCCGTAAACGAATTTGTGACAGTATCGGGGATGGAGTCGTAAAAGTGTGGTGGGAGGTCGGCCTGGGAAGCGTCGATTTGTGCTTGAAGCGAATGTGTGGATTGATGGGGATGGAGTAACGGGACGTCAGGAAGCAATTCAACCGTTTCATTTGAATCTGAGTCTTTCCCACCCAAACGCCCTGCTGCTTTTCCTGTTCCCTCCTCTCCTGAGCCCGCACCTGCTTCTCTTGCAGCGGCCCGCCGGATGAAATCCGAAAGCGACGGGCCGGTTCGGATGGTCTGACGGAACGAATGATGAGCAGTCGAGGACGCTACAAACGAGGATGCGGATTCAATGTGCGTTGGCTCGTCTCCGGCCGTCTGCTGTTGCTGTTGCGCCGCACTGCGGCTGAAATGTAGCGCGCCGAGCCCGCTCGCGAACGTCCTCGTCATAACGGGGCTCGGTTGTGGCGAGTAAACGGGTTCTCGGGCCACGAAACTGCTCGCGATCGGACGGTTGTGGACCTTCCATGGATATCCGAGCTCACGAACGGACGGCTCAGATGAACTTGAGCGACTCTGAGGGGAATTCGCGATTTTGAAACGCGACGCGGCACGCGGTTGCGACGGATCGAGCTTCGAGACATCTGGTCTCCTCCTAGGAAACACCGAGGAGAAGGAAGCGCATGGGGAGAAGGAAGCGCATGGGGAGAAGGAAGCGCATGGGGAGAAGGAAGCGCATGGGGAGGAAGAAGCGCATGGGGAGGAAGAAGCGCATGGGGAGGAAGAAGCGCATGGGGAGGAAGAAGCGCATGGGGAGGAAGAAGCGCATGGGGAGGAAGAAGCGCATGGGGAGGAGGATTCGCGAAGCCAGGAATGTTCCGCGGCACCTATCGAGTTGGCTTTGCTGTGCCAGTTTCGAGCTGCCCGCGATATAAAACGAATCGGTCGATCACGCATGGCTAGGCGTTGATGCGACAGCCGTGATCGCCTTGATCGCCCGCTTGAAATGCGCTTGGATCGCACGGCCTAGGTCACTCAAGATCGAACTCACTGCCAGGTACAAGCCTTTTTTAGGCGCCCCTAGGCGACTCGTCAAACCAGAATGGAAGTTTATGCAAGCCTTGGCAACTACCACATGATTTCGACTTTTACAGTAGTGCGAATTCCCTACTAACGATAAATTCTAGATTTGTTCCTTGGCTACACCTAGTTCGCGTTGATTGCACATTCCGTCCAGGCCCCTTCTTGTAAGACGCCCTAAATATTATATTGCTTGATGAGACTAACACCCAAGGATTATGGGACTATCATTAGACAAGAAGAATGCATCAGTCTCATGAAACTGACACAATGTAGTCCGAGTGTGAGGGCGGATGGGCGCTGCCATTCTTGTTGCTTGCAATCAGCTCGCGAGGGCGGATTGTTGCTTGCCCCGGTAATAATAAACATGATGCACGATACCCTCACATGAAAGTTACTAACCATGGTGTGTAATATCTGAACATGTTGTCAATAAATCTGTTGATGGACTACTATGGTTGACTTTCTATGCCATACTTCCGGTTTTGCATCCTCTGTATGAAGCTAGTGCAATAACGCAAGGACGCGCATGCTCAATGTGAGGTTAATAATCTGCTTACCATAATTATTAATAGAATGTTCCCAGAAAATGATTCAAGTATTTCAATTATAGGTATGGTCAAATAATTTGTTACAAATAGTAAAATGATAAATATTGCACTCCTATCAGTAGCAAGTGAAGAATGCAAATGTGAGTACGAAGGCGAAAGGCCAGAATGACGCGAAGGGTCGCGTACGGTTGGCAGCATATGGACCGTCGGAGCAGAAGCATCGCGCAACTACACCACGAATGATTTAGGCGGGAACATGTTTGTAACCGTCAAGAGTCGCACGGTTCTGTTTCGCTTCAATAAGGGAACGTACCCCTTAGAGTACATAGCTAGCTAGGACGTTTTGTTTTCCTTTGTAAGACAATATTTTCAGAAGAATGAACGAGAATGGTGAAACTAGCAGCATGCAGGAGTACAAGTAGCAAATCCTAATTAGGTTGTACCCCATATGGGCTACCCCACTATAGCCTACACAACATGATAGTTTGACACACCCCCATAGGCAAAGTGGGGGAGAACAAGGGGTCACAAGACCAATCAAGAAAAGCAAAGCAAGCTCAGGGTGGATCACGAAGTCACCACACACTCTGAGCACAAGCAAATGGCCACAAGGCCAGTCCACATGCAGAATTATATAATGGAGAACAAGCAGTACAGTGATCACAACCTAGCAAGTGTAAGCATGCAGGTATATGTATATAGATCACAGTACAAGCAAAGTCAAGAAGTGAGCAAGTGAGACCAAGTAGGCACAAGGCCTAGAACAGTACATAAACGCTGATGATCACAAGGCTGAAGTGCCTTGGTGAAGATATCATCAGTGTTGGCCCGAGAGGCCACGTAAGCAAGACGAAGCTGACCACGCTGCTGCAACTCTCGAGCAAGGAAGTAACGCTGAGCGATGTGCTTCGTCCTGTGCTCCAGTCTGTGCTCCTGACACAAGGCAATCATGGCCTTGTCGACGTACAGAACTGGGGGAGAACGAGGCGGCTCTCCCAGGTCGGTCAGCAGGTAGGTGAGCCAGCGTAACTCCTGTGCAGCCATGGCCCCTGCATAGATCTCAGCCTCACAACTGGAATTGAGAATAGAAGACGAGCGGGTAGACCGCCAAGAAACAGAGCCGGAGCCAAGGCTGAAAGTGTAACCCTGTGACGACCGCTGCGTAGCCAAGTCGTCAACCCAAGAAGTGTCTGCGTGGCCAGTGAGGACAACTCGAGACCGTCCTCCAAGCACGAGCCCCATGCCGGACGTACTGCACAAGTAGCGCAACACCCTCTTAGCGGCCTCCCAGTGCTCTGGTCGATGTCTCCCGGGCGCAACGTAGCGTGCCAGGATGCTAAGAGGGTAGGCAAGGTCAGGTCGAGTGCAGGTCATCAGGTACATGAGGCAGCCCACAAGCTCTGGATACGGGCCACTCGGCTCTACGGACTCGTCTGAAGGTGGAGCTGAGAGCGAGTGACCGGTAGGCAGAGGAGTGGACTGTGGCGAGGAGTACGTGAAGCGGAAGCGCTGAAGGACCTGCTGCACCATGTGTGACTGAGTCAAGGTAATGGTGCGCCGTGCTCTGTCCCGGGTGATCTGCAAGCCAAGATAGCTGCGCAGCTCACCCAAGTCTGTGCACGTGTGTCTCTTCTGCAGCTCCGACTTCACAAGGGCCAGTCCCTCAGTGTCAGCAGTGGCAAAGACCAAGTCGTCGACGTACACGAGGATGTAGAACGGCGGCAGAGTCGTTCTCAGTGTGTCGTGCCACTCGCGAGGCGCCTGGCGGAGACCGTAGACTGGCTGCCGGAGGCTCCACTGGGTACCTGCAGGAAACGACCCAGTGAAGCCAGATGGGCGGCGCAGCCAGATCTCCTCGTGCAGGCTGCCCTGTAAGAAATGTCAAAGTAGTTAGGTAAAACAGGAATGAAATGAAGAGGGATTTCACTAGCAGGCAGTTGGGATACAAATAGCAAACCCTAACCGGGCTGTACTCACTATAGAGTACCCCACTACAGACTAGACAAATATCACATTCTGACACACCCCCATAGGCAAAGTGGGGTATAATCAGCACAGCAAGCAGTCACATAATAAGTTCACAAGCACAAGCAAAGCTAGTGGGAGACATAGAGGACTCGTGAGGAGGAGGAGGGACTGTGAGAGGAGAGGAGATTGGAGGCGGCGGCTGAAGCTGCTGGCACACGGGCTACCGGAGCAAGGGCCCCGGACTACTGGAGTAACTGGCTCTGCGGCTGAGACGAGCGGCTGGAGCAACGGACCCACAGGCGACTGGCGCAACGGGCTCACTGGCTACCGGAGCAAGGGCATCCGGACTACTGGCGCTGCTGGCTCCACAACGGCTACCTCCGTTCAACCTCCCCCACTGTCGCAGACCCCCTTTTCACACACCCCCCTATGCACTCCTAGCTCAACTCCCACGGCACCCCCCTAGCGCCACTCCCCACGGCACCCCCCTAGCGCCACTCCCTCGGCTCCCACACATCCACCCCCCTCAGCGTCAGCTGTAGTAGTGGGAGACGGAGGAGGAGGAGGAGCAGGGGACGGCTCACACACCCGCCACCCCCATACCCGCCACCCCCATAGCTGCACGCGCACGAGGGAGAGGAAGGAGAAATGGGAGGGGCGTGGGGGAAGCAGCCCCGCGGCGCACGGGGTCAAGGGGCGGCGCGCGGGTCCGCGAAGGCGCCGCGATAGGCGACGGGGGGACGGCGCGCGGGTCCCCGGGGGCGCCGCGACGGGCGATGGGGGGCGGCGCGCGGGTCCCCGGGGGCGCCGCGACAGGCGACGGGGGGACGGCGCGCGGGTCCCCGGGGGCGCCGCGACGGACGACGGGGACGGCGCGCGGGTCCCCGGGGGCGCCGCGACGGACGACGGGGACGGCGCGACAGTCCCCGGGGGCGCCGCGACGGACGACGGGGGCGGAGCACTGGTCCCCGGGGGCGCCGCGACGAACGACGGGGGCGGCGCGCTGGTCCCCGGGGGCGCCGCGACGGAGCGTGAAACCGCCGCGCGCGCCCGGGGCGCGCGGCGGGCAGGAAACCGCCACGCGCCCCGAGCGCATGGCGGGCAGAAAAAACGTCGCGCGCCACGGGGCGCGCGACAGACAGTACAGCAGCGGAAGCAGGTGGGCCCACAGGCCAGGAGCGTAGACGCTCTGATAGCATGTCAAAGTAGTTAGGTAAAACAGGAATGAAAGGAAGAGGGATTCAACTAGCAGGCAGTTGGGCTACAATTAGCAAACCCTAACCGGGCTGTACTCACTATAGAGTACCCCACTGCAGACTAGACAAATATCACATTTTGACAAGAAAGTTGTGCTGAAGTCAAGAGAGTGAAGCTCGTAGTCACGCTGAGCGGCGACGTGCAGCAGCACCTGAAGAGTGGTCATCTTCGGGGTAGGGGAGAAGGTCTAGAAGAAGTCAACTCACTGTCGCTGACTGAAGTCTCGAGCAACGTAACGCGCCTTGAAGACAGGCGGAGAACCCTGCGGCCGCTTCACCCTGAAAATCCACATGCCATCGACTATGTTCGCCCCAGGAGGGGGAACCTCGTCGACGTAAGTGCCTGTGGACTTCCAGGATGCCATCTCTGCATCCATGGCTGTCTGCCACTGAGAGGAGTAGGGACCCGTAATCGCCTCTGCATAAGAGCGCGGGGTCGGGATGTCTGGTGCATCCGGGTCTCCCTCAGGTGCAATCAGCATGGACACGAGATGAGGTACAGCAGCTGCAAAACACTCAAAGTCCTCCTGTCTTTCCTCAAGGACGTCCGTGCCAAGAGCACACTCACCCCCGACGGACGGAGGACAGTCAGACT